TTAAGTAGCTAGCATTACAAGCATGGGCCACAGGCACCCGGCCTCAGCTACTTTTACCCCTCAAGGCAGGTATGTGAAAGATCGCAAAGGAAAATGACTAAGTCTAGCTGGAAATGTAGCATGACGGATATCATAATGAAAACAAAGGCCAGATGTCACTACTTATAAAAGACTGAATTTACTCAGGCTATAATCATCCCTGACAAACAGCTCCAAGTCAGGACTCACTGTGATTAATTTGCTTCTCCTCTCTGCTATCTTTGTGTGAAACAAGGAGCAGATACAAGTTCAAGAGGCCACAGAAGTGGATACCACGCATGCCCAGCAAGCCAGTCACACCAACACTGAAATACACACTGACAGTACAGCATATAAAACTCTGGAAGCAATCAAGGAGTGTTTCATATGCGTCTGTGATTTATACATATGTACATATATATATATATAACTATCTTCACTAAATAAGCAACATATATAATAATGCATATGTTTATACATATAGTATATTCATAAGAAATATATTTAGGGGCTGGGAAGGTAGCTCAGGGTTAGAGCGCTTGCCTTGCATGCCAGAGGCCCTGGGTTCGATTCCTCAGCACTACATAAGCAAAAAGAAAAAAGCTGGAAGTGGCACTGTGGCTCAAGTGGTAGAGCGCTAGCCTTGAGCTGAAGAGCTGAGGGACAGCGCCCAGGCCCAGAGTTCAGGACCCACGACCGGACCCAAAAAAAAAAAAAAAAGAAATATATTTAGAAACATATTGCTTATTATATCTATACAATATTATAATGTACTATATATTGCTTATTTTATATGCAGTATATATATATGAGTCTTTGTTAAATAGTTACTATAATACAGTTCACATTTTTGTAAAAGCCAAACACAAAAAACAATTCTGAAAAACTAAGGCACTTCCCAGCATGAAGCTGACTACACTGTGCTTGTGCTGTGCTTGACACTTCTTCCACCAAACCAGAAATTTTAAGTGACTGGAAGTGTCCCTCAGACCATGCACTACCCTGGCTTCAGCTGTATCTACTCAGAAAGCTTCTACCCCAGCCTCTGTGGAACAGTACGACTCATGTGATCAGCCTATGGGTCACAGTGGACATATAGCCACAGATGGAGAGCCAAGGGTGCATGCAAAGATAAGAGATTGCCTTCTCAAAATAGATTATCATTTTTTTTTCAGAAAAGACCTTAAATTTAGTGGCCTTGCAAGTAGAGGTAAAGAATAAGTAAAGAACAATAGCAAAAATCAAATAGCATTTCCCAGGGCTCACACCCACAGGTGTCAGGTTACAGAGTGCATTTGTGAGAGGGAAGTCCTATGCTTCACAGCACAGGGAGCAGGAAGATAAAGGCTGCAGTTCTCAGGGAGCCTGCCTGAGGTTGCACCTGGGCAGATAACACAGCCTTCCAACCATGAGACCTGAGTCACAGCAAGGACTTGGCAGTGCATATCACACTGGGGCTTCTTACTAAATCTCCAAATTCACCCAGCTCCCCACTCCCTGTATGATCTACATATGAGACCTGTGGAGTCTGGACTTGTGGAGTTATGTACGGCCATCTCAACCCAAGCATTAGAGCAATGTGAATCTGGAAGACAGGGAATTGGTGGGTGGTTATTCTGCTCCATACTTCTCAGGTTGAATTCTGAAGTTCTGAAGATGTACTAGTATATAAACAGTCATTCTTGGTTTCTTTTTTTGAGGGGGGGAGGAGGAGGAGAACAGTATTGGGGATTGAACTCAGGGCCTCACACTGACTCAAGGCTGGTACCCATGCCTCCATTTCTGACTTTCTGCTAGCTAATTCGAGAGAAGATTATTTCCAAATTTTCTGTCCGGGCTGGCTTCAAACTGTGATCTTCAGATCTCAACCTCTTGAATAGCTGGGATTCCAGGCATGAGCTACCAGGACCTGGCTGGATAGTCAGTCTCAGTCCATTAGTTTATAGCCTATATTAAGGAATAGCATCTTTCAAGTCGCTGAATTATGTTGAGGCAGATGGGAGACACTTGACATTTCTCTTAAGCTCCTATCATTTCTTAGATATTCCTTTTGTCACTTGTGTTGCACCACGATCCCAGGCCTAGGACCCCAGGCAGCCTGACGGGGGGTTGTTCATGTGGCCTAGCCAAAATGTGGACACTGCCTGCTCCAAGGAGCTAAAATACATAAAGAAATCGAAACAGATGGTAAAAGAGTAATTAGTCAAGTCCTAAACATATAACTTTTACTGGGAAGTTACATTAGAAAGAAAAGGCAAACAAAAATGGAAAAAATCAATCAAGGCCAAGGGCACTGGAATCATTTTGATCTTCCCAGGGGGAATAAAGATGGTGGGGGCAAGGAGATAGCATCTCTAGTATAGTGACCACATGGCTAAGAGATATGTTCCTTTAGGAAAGGGTTTCTGGTTAAACTGTATCAAAATCCCCTTTCCCCCATAGAAAGAAATCAAGAAAGATGGAAAGAAAGAGGGCAGGGGGAGGTAAGGGAGAAAGCACACCAGAGCCATATGGAATTATCTATTTTTTCTCCTCACACCATCTGGTTTGGAATGCAAGTGCAGAATGGCAACTGCATTCGTTTGGAAGCCAATAAAATGTCTAAATGGCCCAGGAAGGTGATAACATGCCTGAATCAGGTCCTCTCAGTCCATGGCCTGCGCCATCGTCTCTAAACTATCAAGTATAAGATCTCTGCAGCCAGTTTCAGACACAAATGACCTCAACGGCTTGGGCTTTAGAAGTATTTTTTTAAAACAAAAATTGCAGTCAGTGCCCACAAAAATTAAAACTGTATGGATGGAGACTACTTCAGGATCTAGGAAGACACTTCTTCAAATCAAATTCAGTTAGGTCTTTTTTCCCCTTGTAGGAAGCTATTTGCTCACAAGATACTTCCTTGTAACGTCCCAGCAACTTGATATTGTGGGAATTGGGCAAAATCTCACACTATTCGAGAATTCCTCAAACCCAGAGGACTAAGGATTTTAAAACATTTTATTTTACTGCTTAATCCATTTGGCAGGGGAAAATAAAACACAAACATGGTAACCACAATTTCCTTGGTGCCAAACCCCAACCTGAATGGCCCAAGGGGCTGGTGCCAGGCTTCATGTATGGGATCATGTGAACACCATGTTCACACAACGATACCTTCCAAAAACCACAATCGCCTCAGGATTCTCAAACAAACCTATTTCAGGAGATTAACTGGAACCTTGTATGTTCTCAGCTTCAACTGCTGCTTAGAACTGCTGTGCATATTCCAAAGTTTGGTGATTGGGTCAAAAGCACACAGATATAACTTGGGTACTGCAAGATTCATGCGTTTTAAATGGTACAATTCAATTGTTTGGGGTATGTCTATAGAGTAATGCATCTGTCACCACAATTTAATTGTAGAATGCTTTCTTCACCCCAAGAGAGATCCATGTGCCCATCCGCACTTCCCCTAGTCTCTGGCAGCCTCTTGTTTTTTGTGCCAATTTGGAGGCTTGAACTCAGGGCCTTGTGATCTTACTTGGTTTTCTTGCACACAGCGGGTGCTCTACCACCAAGCTTCCAGTCAAGCATTTTGCTAATTGGAGATGGGAGTCTCCTAGACTTTTCTATACCCAGGCTGTCTTAGAACTAGGATCCTCCAGGGCTCTGCCTCCTGGACAGCTAGGATTGCAGATGTGAACTGATGGCACCCAGCCCAATCTACTTGTTGTATGAACAAAGTCACTCATTTGGTCTGACTTTTTATTTTTATTTAATACCATGTATTAATGGTCATTCATGTCATAGTATATATTAGTACTTCATTCTTTTAACTGATGAATATTAATACAAATATATCGTATCTAATAGAAAATTGTAAGTCCAGATTCTAGCCACTCTACACCTCTATTACTTTCTTTAAAAAAAAAAAAAACTCTAAGAATGGATGCTCAATCCAATCTCCTTTTTTGTGGTACTGAGTATTAAATTCAGGGTCTCCTGCTTGCTAAGCAAATGCACTACTACTTGATAGCCTTTTGTATGTCCTTTTGTTTTTAATCTGTTCTTCATACAGACTCTCACACTAACTTTGGACCATGATCCTCTGTCCGCAGAGTAGCTTGAGAAAGTACGCACCCATTTGGAAGAAATGACATGGGTTGACACAAAATCATAGTAACATTTTAAGCTTACAATTTTGTTTATCCGACTCACCACCAGCCCATGAAGATCGCATTTTACACTTTGAACTACAATTGTATGTTGGCAAAATCACTGAGCTGAATATGAACACATGTAGACTTTGAGGATTCAAGTGGGTGAATGTTCATCCCACTCAGCATCCTCCCCACCCTAAGTCCTGAAATCAACTCATACACATTTCATTCAGACTTGATACCAGTGATCTGAGAGACCAGCATTCTTCATAAGCAAGGAGAATGGCAACTGAGTCCAAAGAACCTACCTGGTGGGAGTCCGATACACAGTTACCAATTCTAACTTCACAGGCTGTGATTTTTCATTCTCAAAGGCAATCAAAAGAGGGTAGTGCAAAGTAAAGGGGTTTGAAAGATGCCTGGACCTTGTTAGAAAGATGCTCAGGATCCCCAAGAAGCTAAAGCTTCTTGACTGTTCCAGCCCATTTTTGGGCCCCAGTGGTGGGGACCTGTGTGGTTCCACTCCCTTGTTACTGGTTTAGACAGAGGAAATTTTGGGGGTCACCCTAAGGCTTGTCTTACTGTACACTGCTCCCTTTGAGAAGGAGAAGCGGGGGTGAGCAAAGAGAAAAGGGGAGAAATATGGAGTGGAATGGTAAGGGGGCGAGAAAATGAAAGATGATTTTTAAAATGTCAAAGAGCTTAATTTTTACCCACACCCTTGTCAACAAATGAATGCATCAGGCAAAACATAAAATATCACCACACTGAAAGAGCCATCACAAATCATAGTAAAGATAACAATTGAGTTGCTATTAGCATTCAACCCAAGGCTGTATTTACCTGGACTGCTCAAGGGGCCAGCCCTGTCCCCCAGGGTTGGCACGGGACGGTACTGGTGGTTCTTTGAGCCTGGGTACATCCAGTGGTACCTGCCAATTTCCATTTCAGCTCTGCTGTTCACTGCCAATTTCAGTGGCAAAGAGTCAGTGTCTATCTCCAGCAAAGATTCTATATCAGCATTTTTATTTATTCTTTTACTACATAGTTAAAGGAAATGGGGAGTTAAAATTCTGGGCTCTCAAAATGCAAACTTTCCATATCAGGTTCTCAACTTAGCATGGTAAGTTCACAATGGAGTCTCTTTCTCCGTGTTTGAATTGGAGTTTACACAAATCACCAAAATTTTCTTTCCTTTGCTTATTTTCTCCATCCCCCAACACCCTTACACACATCAAATGCTCATTTGGGGAGGATACTATCTAGAGATAAAATTGGGCTCCTTACAATATATTTTTCTTTCTGTTGATTTCCTTTTGAGACCAGCAGAGCACTATAATTATTGCCAGCTGCACAGGCAAAGGTAAGCAGAGACTCTCTCTAATGGTACCCAGTTCCAGTCCTAAAAAGCTGGCAAATTACTCCATGGCCTGATGAATCTTGCATGAAATGTCTGCCCTCCCTGACACCTGTGGCATTCTCTGTCACCTCATCTTCAACTCAGGAAGTCGGGCCTTCAATGTTCTGGATTAAACCGTGTTTCAATGATCTTTTGCTGTATTATAGAGAAAAGGCTGTGGGTCTTAGGCTCAAACCTCTTCTTGCTCACTACTGAGGTGACAATTGTTCTTCCAGGGACTCAGTTCTCTCTCTGGTCACACATTTCCCTCTTAGAGGGTTGGAAAGAAAAATACCTACCAAATAGCCTAGTACAGAGAAGGTTATTGATAACTATTATCTGCACAACAGTAAGGTCACTATGGCCAGTTTATACCTGAAAATTCCATAAAACCTAATAAGGGGGTAGGTACTCTGGGGTAGTACAGTTATTTAAGGAGTAAGAAATGCTTCTGACATGGAAGGAGGTAAAGATCCCAGCAGAAGACAGGATCCCAATGCTCATTGTGGCACCTCAGGTCTCTGTAGATAAAGACCAAGTGAATAAGCACAAGCAACAAAATAAGCAAAGGCCTTGGCTTTGTTTACTGAAAATCTCAGCCTTTACATAATCCCAGTTCCACTCTCCAGGATCTCTGGTCACTCAAGAAATACTAGGTAGAGAAGCAGAGACGTCCTTTTGTAGGTGTTGTTTTAGAGAAAACCTTTTTGGCTTCAGGGTAGGATAATGTCTGATTTCAAAAGAAAAGGAAAACCTATTTGGGTACGATGAAGTTGTTTTAGTTGCTCTCATTTGTGCAGTGCTTACAATGTGTTTGACCATTGTGTTAGCAAGCACGTGTTGCCTGGAGCCTCATTTGTCACAGTCATCCTAGGAAAGTATTATTTTATCATGGCAAATGAAGAGTGGAGAGATAGCAAGAAAGGAATGATCTTTTGTGCAAGCTCACTCAGCAGGGAGGAAGAGGAGGAGTCTGGTTGTGGAACTGTGTAACCTGCCTCCAGGGATGCATTATTTTTTTCTGACACTGGGGCTTGAACTCAGACCATAAGCACTGTCCCTTAACTTTTTCACTCAAAGCTAGTACTCTATCATTTGAGTCACCGCTCTACTTCCAGCTTTTTACTAGTTAGTTGGAGATAAGAGTCTCATGGACTTGCCTTCCAGGGCTGGCTTTGAACCAAGATTCTCAGATCTCAGCCTCTTGAGTAGCTAGGATTACAGGTGTGAGCCGCCATCGCCCTTTTAATGTGATCTGGTGACAAGGCTAATCAAACGAACTTAGGTTGGACTGCTTCTCAGCATCTAGGAAATCATCATTGGAAATGACTAGGTAACAAGCACTGCTGTCTGGAAAGAAGACATTCCCTGGTATTTTCAAAGCCATATTTGTCATCTTTCCTTTTCAGCCATTAGTTACAACATTAAAGGAAAGTCATAACAATACAACAGACTAGAGGAAAGGTTGGCCCAGTGGGCTTTTGTTTTTATAAATAAATTCTTACTGGAACCTGGTCATACCCACTTATTATCTATGGACATTTTTACAAGTTGGTGGCAGATGTGAGAAGGCTCAATAGAAATCTGTGGCCAGCAATGCCAAAATATTTGTTACTTGGTCTTCTACAGAAAATGTATATTGATAGAGCCTAGCAAGGTTTGAATATATAAAAAAGTTAATTAATAAGCCAAACTATAAAATAGAGCATTATTTTATTAGCTCTTATTCTATGCTCAGTGAAAAAGAAATACCACTGGGCTGGCTATTGATCCAAATTCTTCTCTGTGGCACAGTTGTTGGCTATTTAATTTGCCACCAACCAACAAAAATGTGGTTACACCCAGTATTATATACTACTCCTAAGGATGCCTGAGTGAGTGCCCATTCAATGCTATGTGAGCTGAGAGGACAGAGGATGACATTTCAGAAAAGAACATTATTCAATGAATATGAGAACAAATGATGAGCAACAATGCGCACTGGCAAAGCTTGGATTACAGCCTCCTCTTAAAAGCCAATGTGTGGCGCTTTCTACCTCCAGCTCAGAGCCACTCCTAGTTCTGGCAAACTACCTCAAGTGTATACTCAGTGGGTCCAAAGGATAAAAGAGCAAGGGAGAATCTCTGCAACAATCCAATTACTTCATCTTCAGTGAAGGGAAGTTTATGTCAGGGTGACCCTGGCTGTTCTGCATGTTCTTAAATGCAGCAAGACTGAGCAATTATTTTATTAAGATCACTTACTCTAAATTGACCTGTGCTTCCAAGTATCAGAGAAATGTGATCTGCATTGCAATCTTAATTTAGATTTACAACTCAGTTCCCCCCCCCAAAAAAAACCCAAATAGACATTTCCAGAAATGGGCCAGATTTCTTCTTTTCTAATGAAATAGCAAGGCTAAGCCTTAAAAAGCATGCTCACAGAATTGATAATAAAGTAGCAGATACATCAGATGGCTCATCAAGATCTTTCTCCACATTTAAATTTTCTTAAAAAAAAAACATCAAATGATGCCATATCACACCTACCACATATGTGCTGCACCATCTGGCTACACACTCTTTTCTACAGACTATTCTCTAGATACCATCTCTTCAGATGTCCACCTTGGCAAATCCTTACAGAGAATAACTACATCTAAAACTTTCTCTGTATCAGATTCACATAAAGAATTTAGACAATGTCAATAAAAATTCATTACTCTTAGGAGAAGAACAGAGAGGCACAATGCCTGTGTGTATCTGATACAAAATAATATTTATCGAAATGAACTTTAGGAAATGAAAATAAGAGGGCTTTTTCTTTTTCGCTGTTTTTGTTTTCTTTCCTTTTTCTCTATTTGTTCATTTATCTGTCTTTAGGAGTGTAAGGGGGGGCACAGAAATGGAGAGACAAAGGGTGAACAAATGCAGCAATGGTACTAACTAGACACAATGAAGAAAACGAACTATACAACTTATGGGTGGGATTGGGAGGGAAAAACTGGGAGAGAGAGAGTGAGGGAAGGAAAAAATATTAGCTTAGCTCATTAAATCATTATTCAACATGTTAAATGTGTCCCTTTGGATTTTTAGCATACAAGTGATAGAGTTTAAAGGCATGCTTTTCTTCCTGAAAAAATAAGCAAATAAATAAAAGAGCCTGATGTGATACATTTTGATAAATTAAAAATATGTAATCACTTGTATTTGATCAAAAGGGTTAAAATAGATCAGTTAATCTTGTAAATAAGTCTATTATTTAAATCCATTATTTTTTTAAATTTAAATTTTTCTTTATTTATTTTTTATTGTGAAAACACCATACAGAGGGTTACAATTACATGGGCAAGGTAATGAGTACATTTCTTATCAAGCATTGAAATCCATTATTTTTTACTCAGACCATATCCTACAGTTTATTTTAAATTAAATAATTTTCCAACATACTATGTTTTCCTTCCTATGTGATTAGGAGCTTAATTTAATGTCTGGATTCTGGAATTGAGTTCAGAATGGTTCATAGGAAGTGAACTACCCTGACTATAATTATTTGAGTAAATTCCATTTTCCTACATGCAATAAAATAATTTTCATCCTACTCAGATTTATTTGTACATAATAGAACAACTAGAGTTGTTATAATTCAATTGTTTGTCTACCCACTAACCACATGTACTCTCTGCAATTCTAGATGCATCTGTTTTCACAAATAAATTGACATCAAGTAATATTCCACTGAAATAAATGGAAACCTAACCATATCTTTTTATTACTGGATCCCATTATCTATTTCCTTTGATTTGTCTTATTCATTTTCTCCACTTATTCCATTTCAGTGAATATGCTTTTCAATCCTCATATTTTAATGCTCTCAATTTAAAAATCATATTTCAGTAATATGGCATTTCACACATCCATCTGAGAAAACCTGCTTGCTTCCCATAAAAATCCCTGAATATCTGCCTAACACCTTGTGTGAATTCTGGTTGATAGAGTATTCTGTTAAAAAGAACACACAATTTCAAAAGTGCAAATGCTTTGGTTTTGTAAAGATTTAGATTACTCTTGTCTGAACTAGGAACAAACCATTCCGATTGACTTTCTAAAGAAACAGATTTCTGTAGGAGTGACTGAATCATAATAGCTCAGAGGCGTTGTCCTGCCTAAACTCCCTCCAGGAGAGGACACCAACTAGAAACGTCAAGTTTAATTTAACAGACACAGCAATAATTATACAACCCTATTAGTTCACAAGCTATTGGGTATTAGCCATAGGGCAGTAACACCCCAAATGAAGTTGGGCATTTTTCCCTATCAGCAACAATTGAAAACAAGTAGGAAAGGAAGAACTGAACTGACAGGAATTAAAAAAAAAAAAACAAAACCTCTGTGTATAGTTGCAACATGCCTAGGATTGTAGTCAGGAAATAAGAACCCTTGCTGAAAGGGGTGAGGAAGAGAGAAAGAAAAAGAAAGGGAGGGAGGAAGGGAGGGAGGGAGGGAGGGACTCTACCAGGTCCAGAATTATAGGGTACATTTTTTGTTATGATTTCAATTTTTTAAATGTTAATGAAATAAACATTTATTTTCTAAACAAAATGAAACCTGAAGAAGTAAGCCTGCAATGACAAGCACACATGACCTGATGTAGCTTTTGTTTTAGGTGCACCTGAATGATAAGAGTCCAACAAACTGGGGAACTAGGAAGAAACTTGGGTGAGTTGTAATCTTGTGGAGCTGAACTTGTTCTAAATAAAGATTTGAAGATAAGCTAGATGAACACGTTAGTGTTTCCCATAATGATGCTGCAGATCAGTAAAAACAAATTTCCTGGCCCATCTTCTTATTTTAGCTTCTGTTATATATATGATGCTATGTTTTGGTAGCTTGTTAGTTCTGTGTTATTTAACAAATAACTAATATTTATAAATTGTGGTGCTTTCTAAAGTTCCTTCAAGAATAATCTTTCGTTTCTAATTTTGCCTCTAAAGCTAAGGCTAAAATTTTTCGTATGCCAATTGTAATGGGTGGAGTAGGGACCTGTAGACCTGTCATTAAACATTTAATTGACATAATAGTAACCCATAAGACTAAATAATGATGAGAAAATTTAATGTAGAGTTTCTATATAGGTTATATGTGCTTTTCTTACTTACATACTTACAAGTAGTATGATCTTGTACAGACTAAAATGTGTTGCAGAGGCCCAAATGGTTCTATCTGTCATGGGTAAACGTTACATAAAGCATGTACAAAACGAAATCATCTCTACTTTAGGGGGAAAATGCTACAAATTTGATAGTCTTTTTCAGGACCATGCAGTTCTTTTATCCTAAAGCATGTAATCAACTTACTAATTAATAATAATGAACCTTCAAACTTTTACTTCTTTAGCTTGACAAATATTCCCGAGTGTCTCGTATTTTTATTACTCTTTCATGATTCACATAGGTTAAGGGGGGAGGGCAGACACATACAAGAAAAAAATGGATTTTTTTTTTCTGGTTGAGGAAAAGGTCGGTTTGGTACAAAAACTGAATTAAACTAGCAACTTTAAAATTAAAATGCTATGCATTTAATGTCAATGAATCATATACTTAAAAATACAATGGAAAATTTCATGCTATGTGGATTTTCTCATATTTCTAAAAACTGAATTTTGGAAATGAAATTGGTCTATTCGGAATCAATGTCAATGTATGTAGAATAAATCCTTTACATAACATGCAGCCTCTACCCTAGCATGCAGTCGAGCCTACATATGGATGCTGGTTTTGTAGGTTTAAAATGGTTAACTCTCAGCAATTTCATATGGTTCAAACTGCAAATTATTCATAAGGAAAACAGTTACGCCTTCATCCTGAAGAATTACTATTATTTAGTAACTGTCATTAGGCGTCAAGGCTATGAGAAATGACCTTAACATGATGGCTTTTGCTATTTGAGCCACTGCAGTTAGAGAGCACGTTTCTGTGCATTTGTGACAGTTTCTATCTTTGGGTGAGAGAGATCAATTACAATGCAGTGCGATGTCATTAACCTAACAGTGGCTGAGCTGATTCCACGGAGTGTCAAACTTGACATCAGTCATTATTTACGAAAGGAAATTTAATTATAGCTTCAGTTTTCTGCCTTTTTTTTCTTTTAACTGCAAAATACTGATCTCTCCAAAGACCTAATCTGTGCATCAAAATTTTGACATGATCAACAGGACCTTTATTCATTTTCCTCTCCCAAATCTTTAAATCATAATTAGCATAAGAACCCCCCCCCCTTTTCTCCTTTCCATCAGTGTTAGGTGACAGAGCCTATGTCCCCTCTCCCTCAAGCTCCAACTGTAAATGTTTTATTACGTGTCACATCCAGAGCCTGGTACACAGAAACAACAATCATATTAGAGGAAGGAAATTAGACAATGTCCAAATCATTCCACTCTTAATGGAAGAAAAGCATAATTAGCATGCATACCCTCTAGTTTTCCCCAGGGTTGGCAGAAAACAGTATATTCCATGTCCCCAGAATATAACATGCAGAACATTGGATCTAAGTTCTCATTTATTATAGCAGAAAAAAAAAAGACAATCTCCCCAATGCAGCTGCCCAAGGTGACAACTGTGGACAACCTTCTATGAAATACGTTGTTCCGCAGGAAGATTTACAACAGGACTAGATTGAAGACAGGCTGCTTTATCAATTGAATATCAGTCCACAGGGGGTAAAACACCCTAAAACAAGAGTATGCCATAGGGATTGTTTCAGAGTCATTTTAAAAGACACAAAACCAGGCTAACCCTTTCCAAGCGCCCTCAGTGAAAAGCTTTAAACAGGCTATTGTCAGAGTACAGGGTACCTTTTCTCTCTTGGCTTTGTTCAGCATTTTCCTCGGCTGCAGTTTCCATGGCTGGCTTCATACCATCCACCAAAAATGCTTTTCCTTGCTTTCTCCCAACACACACTTTTTTCCCCTCCTCTTCCTTTTCTTTTGGACTCCCCTCGGTCTCGTATTCACACCGCCTGATTGAGAGGCTCTGTTCTTCACTACAGTAGATTACAGCCCCTTCCAAGATGTAAAAGTCTTGTCAGCGTCAATCTCGTTCTGCCTACTGTTCCATAGAGATAGGTGCCAAGGAGCCAGCAGCAATACGTCACAGAGGATCCCAGTTATAAAACAGCCATTCTGTACCCCTCTGTGCCCAGACTCGACTCTCAAGGCGCCCAGGAAAGACCTGCTCCCCCACCAAGCTCTTCCTCCTCACAGTCTCTCTTAAGATCTTTCCCTCACTCTCTCTCTCCGCCCCCCTCCTCTGCTCCCTTCTTTCCTCCAGCCAACTACACCCAATGAATACTAATTAATTCTCCCAGGGAAGAATAGGTTTGTGACATCAGAGGAAAGGATGTGGAAGAGAAAGAAAAGAGCCCCCTCCCACCACGTGACTTGGTCGGGCCACAATCTATGTTGTCTCTCAGGCAAGTGCCGTGTTTCCCAGGCCACCCCTTTAGGGGCATCAAGGTCTTATTTATTCTGTCTATCGCCCACACCCCGGTAAAATATACTTAAAAGATATGCCTGTGATGTCTATTTTATTTGCTTTTAAAAATACCTCTTTTTCATATTACCTCTAGATAGATAAGTTGATCTTTTCTTTTTGCTCAAGCCCACTTAATAAAAAGTGACCTTTTCTTATTTCTTAAAAAACTGTAATGTATGACTAGTGTCTCTAGCTGACATTTTGGCGGTTTTGTTAGTAAAGATCAGAATGGTTTTGTGATGTGATTGTTCAAATATTATATTGTTTTATTCATTGGATCCTCTCACTCAAAACAAAAGTCATTCTCAAGAACATTCTAAATATCTGCAAAATAGCTAAGGTACCAACAGTGCCTCTGACCTGACTTCTTGCGCAAGCAGATGCTATTGAATAAAAGTTCCTATCCCACTTTAGCATGTAAGCCTTTGTCGAGACGATGAGCCCTGTGTATTATAGAACCATTTTGCAGTTGGCTGGCCTGCATACCTTCTCTGGACCCATGAGAATAACTACAGACTCTCCAGGCCAGCCATTTGTGGCTCATGCTTGTAATCCTAGCTAGTTAGGAGTCTGAGGTCTGAAATCACAGTTCAAAGTCAGCCTAACTAGGAAAGTCCGTGAGACTCCTATCTCTAATTCCCATCAAAAAGTGGTAGAGCACCAGCCTTGAGCAAAATGCACAGGGACAGCAGTTAGGCCCTGAGTTCAGTCTCCAGTATTGGTTCACATACACATAGGAAAAGAAGGAGAAAGGGAAAAGAAAAGGAAAAGGAAAAGGAGGAAATGAGACAGTCAGACTCAAGACAAATACAAATGCAAAGATTACCATTGATCACAACTGGATGAAGGATTTCCTAACTTAGAATATTCTGTTTGTAGGTTGGTTAGGCATAACATCTACCTTGGGAGAAAATATAAAAGAAGTTGGGAGGCCGGGCACTGGTGGCTCACACCTGTAATCTTAGCTATTCAGGAGGCTGAGATCTGAGGATCACGGTTCAAAGCCAGCCTGGGCAGGAAAGTCCATGAAGCTCTTATCTCCAATAAACCACTAGAAAACCAGAAGTGGTGCTATGGCTCAAGTGGTAGAGTGCTCACCTTGAGCTGAAGAGCGCAGGGACAGAACCCAGGCCCAGAGTTCAAGCCCCACGACCGACAAAAAAGAAAAAAAAAGAAGTTGGAGGCTATCTCTCTTTAATATACTCTTGCAAGTTTTAGGAGTTTATCACTCAATATTATTTTTCAATGAACAAGAGCCGGAGCTAGTGGCTCACAACTATAATCCTAGCTACTCCACAGGCTGAGAACTAAGGATCACGGCACAAAGCCAGCCCAGGCAAGAAAGCCCCTGTGATTCTTGCCTCCAATAAACTACTGAGAAAAATAAAAACGAAACAAACAGAAGTGGAGCTGTGGCTAAAGTGGTAAAGTGCTAGCGGTGGGCAAAAGAAGGTCAAGGACAGCATCTCAGACCCTGAGTTCAAGCTGTATGACTGGCACCAAAAACAAATATATAAACAAATAAAGCATTCAAAATCCTTTACCTGATCTTTTAATGATTTGGTTTTAGATAATCCTCCAAATGACTTTTACATTCAATACCTCTGGCATGTTAAAGAGGAAAAGGTTTTGAAAACCAGTTTACCCTGTTTTAACACCTTCTTTTAATTTTACACCCCACTTTTTTCTTTGACCCGTGTTCTAGAAGGCTGCGCCTACAATCAACCATTTCTTTAAATTATGGCTTCAGCCAGGTTTATTGTCTCCTGGTGAAGGGATAGGGAAGCATGCCGGCTAAAATGGTGCCTTGTTAGGGGAAAAAAATAAAAGATTCATTTGTGATATAACTACCTTCATGGGAAAACTTACCAGATGTCCTAAAGGGGCACTTTAAACATGTTTGGCAATGACAATGTAAGTCCATTCAGACAAAGGTGCCAAGTCCTTGTGCGTGACAAGCTTGTTTCCTCCACCCACAGCATTCCAAATGAAAACTCAACCCAAAATTCAACTGAGCACAAAACAGGACAAAAGTAATGACCTGTTGCTGGGTTTTCAAAAGTATCTAACAAAGGCATGCAATTCGAGAACTAACAGAGTAGAATGGTATCTTGGCTCTTCCTTAAGCATATTATTTTTATTCATGTGTTTGTGCATGCATGCATGTGTGCGTGCACATGCATGCACAACTGGTATTGGAGGCTAAGCTTAGGGCCTGTTCACTGTCCCTTAGCTTTCTTTTTTTTTGGGGGGGGGTCTGGTCGTGGGGCCTGAACTCTGGGCCTGGGCACTGCCCCTCAGCTCTTCAGCTCAAGGCTAGCGCTCTACCACTTGAGCCACAGCGCCACTTCCGGCTTTTCCCCCCTTTTATGTGGTGCTGAGGAATTGAACCCAGGGCCTCATGCATGCAAGGCAAGCACTCTACCACTGAGCCACCTTCCCAGCCCCTGTCCCTTAGCTTTCTTGACTCCAGACTAGTGGTTTAACATTTGAGCCACAGCTCCATTTCCAGCTTTTGGGTGGTTAATTGAAGATAAGAATCTCACAGACTTTCCCACCTCAGCTGACTTGGAACTACAATCTTCAAATATCAGCCATCTGAGTAGTTAGGATCACAGGCATGAGCCACTAGCATCAGGCTTCTACTTTATCCACGGGCTCAAGCAATCCTTGTGACTCAGCTGCTTCAAATCTGGTATCAGAGGCAAATGCTATTGTCTCTGCTAGGAATATTATTTTCATAAGGAAAACAGAATATGTAAGACACATTCCTAAATTCCCTATTTAAGGATAACTCTTAGTTCTAAATCACAATGAAAAAAACACAAAACTATTCAACAAAATATTTACAAATCTTCCAGCAAATAGTTTCATCTACTTTTACTTGGGATAAAACTACAGATAAAAGAGTAGTTCATCACTTTTGTCTTATTCACAACTTCATTTTCATTAGAACAGTGATATATGATAGTTCTAGAAATTACCACTGTACTACTTCAGAAGCAGCCTCAGATTGCACTGATGTTTATAATAAACCATTGGAATAAAAAAAAACAAGTGCTAGAAAAGTTGTCAACAAGATTGAAAAGAGAAATACATTCATAATATTTTGAAGTATATATCTATTTGGGACCAGAAAAGCTAGGCATATAGACTGAACAGGAAAGGAAATATCTCCCAGAGCTGAAACTATTTCTTTGATCCCCATGTTGTAAGATAGTCAGAACATTTCTGAAAGCCGAAGCAGGAATAAAACATACTGACATAAAATGTACTGGATTGAAAAATCCAATGAAATTGCTAACATTGCCTAAAAAGAACAGGAGGTTCACATCATTTTCCTCATATACCTGCAAGTCTTTGATAGAATTATTTCCAGCTCAGTAAAAATGTGTGGTATAACCTTCTACATACTAACATGTACAGGAAGTACAACAACAAACAAATAATGCTGTTTTCTCCAGGCAATTCACAGGCTACTCGCACACAAAACTCTCCCAAACCAGGGTGTTCCTATCTACTGCAACTGGTAGAATATCACAATACCAATAACATGAAAAGGGGATTCATTAGGCACTTACTGTATGCAGGACATCAAATCAACATTCCATGTTATACATTATGGTTGCTCAGCCAGTTGAAAATTCAAGTTGCACAAAATGTTCTACCTGCATATCATTATCTTAGCCATGAAGATATCAAAGATTTTGTCAAATTCCTGTTTTCCAACTTCCTGGAATTACATTTTGCTTTGACCTCAAAATCACTCTTCAGTGAGGAGTCATTAAACATCAAGAGGAGTATTATCAGCTTTCTTCTAACAACTTATTCCTCTGCAATTTTTCAGGGCTCATAGAACATTTGTGTAACATGAAATATATTCTGCTATAATTCTCATTGTCCTTCAGAGGAAATCGATACTTAGCACAGCAACTGCAAAACCAAAGAACCTCACTTCATATTTTACTGTAAAAACTCTCATACCTAGTTGCATGAATTTTAAGTAAATTGCTTGAAAAGAAATTTTTGATCAAGTGTGGTGGCACACATTTGTGATCTCAACACTTAGGAGGCTGAGGCGAGAGAATCAGGGGTTTTTAGGACAGGCTAAAGCTACATAGAGAAGTCCAAGTGAGTCTAGACTACATAGCAAGACCCTGTCTCAATAAATTAATAAACAAACAAATTTCTGTTAAGTGACTCCTATTTTCACATTACTACCCAAGACAGAAACCTAAAATGTAATGTTCTGGTTGCAAACATCTGAGCTTTCTCTTTACTTGGAAAGAACAGAATTAGAGCTACAGCAAGAACTCTTCAGTCATATATTTGAGGCAGAAAATATATTTTTATCAAGTAGAATTATCTGCAGTATCAATAGTTCTTAAAATGGCACATACATTAAAAAAACACATAAACTAGAAATATAAAACTATAGCTAGCAATTTCGAATACGATAGTCTAGAATTGAGTCCTCCTCATAATTAGATTTCTATCAATTTGGCAGAGCCTTCGTCCTTCATTACCATAATTAAATTTCAAATTTTGCTTCCAGTGTGGGGTTTTGAAAAATGCCTGCTGATTTCTTTCCTTTCTTTTCTTGTTTCTTTTCTTGCCTTTTCTTTTGCTCTTTGCCAGGACCGGGGCTTGAATTCAGGGTCTCATGCTGTCATTCAGCATTTTCACTATGGCTGCTATTCTCCCACTTGAGCCATTTTTTTTTTTTTT